GGTACCCCTGATGTTGGGACACCCCCAAATATTCCTAGGTAAGCCCATATCATCCATTTAGAGCTGCTCAAGCCCCGAACCCAAACCCAAACTTGACTGCCAAGCGCCAGACCCAAATCCCCCCAAATCCCTAGTACAGGGGCCTAAATAATTACCAAGATAATTTTGAGGTCCAGTTGAGGTACCAGAGACCATAATTATATAAGGAATATGGAATGATAATATTGGTAATTATGTAAGCCCCTATATTAAACCTCAAATCTTCAACCCCAAACCCCGAACTCTAAATCCTGAACCCTACATACCCATTCTCAGCACCCGACAGACGATGAACACCAAGGCAGCCAAAGCTCCGGCGCAGACCTTTTCAAAAGGATTTAGGATTTAGGGTTAGGGTTTAGGATTTAGGGTTTAGGGTTAAGGGTAACCATAATGGCTAAAAATGAGTCATACAAATTCTTGAAATTGTCAAGAATGATTAACTAATGAGAAATACTCATCACTAGTAGTGATTTGTTGATAACTACTACTTATAAGAATGATAAGAAGAAGAATGACTAATGATTAAAATAATCATAGTTACTAGTAGTGATCTGTTAATTAACTAATTAATTAAGCAGTTCATAAATCAATGATAATGATAATTACCCAGACACCCTAAAGGATCCAAAAAATGGAAGCCCCCCCCCCAATATGAACCGATTACTACATTGGGAGAAGGAAACCCAAGGTCTCTTAGAGGGTCTGACCTATCTGGAGGTTCTGGGCATCTACCTCAGCCCTAGAAACAAAAAAAACTAAGCCCTCAACCTAAAAACTCCTGGACCCTGGGAAGCCCTAAGCCCTAAGCCCTAAACTCTAAAAAAATACGAAGCCCTAAGCCCAGATCCGACAAAACCCTTAACCTTGAAGCCCTGAGCACCAAAACACCTTGACGATATCTCAAGCTTTCACCCTAAACCCTAAACCCTATCCCATGGGCGCCAGGCTGCTGCGTCTGCACCTCGGAAGAGTCCTTGGTACGCAAGCTGTTTAGGGCTTAAGGCTTAGGGTTGAGGGTTTACGGGCTTAGCGCCTAGGAATTGAAGTTTTTAGGGTTTAGGGGGTTTTAGGGTTTAGGATTTAGGGTTTAGGGCTTAGGATTTAGGGCTGTCCTCCCTGCAGAAGCCCCTTGTTTGTTTTGGCCGACTGTAAGAAGGGTTATTCAAGGTGATATAGGCTTATGTAAGCTATATGTGTGGGGGAATATATATATATATCTACACATACACACCAGATTCCCCCAGTAACCCTTTAATACTAAGGGTACCCTTTTTCCTCATGTTCAGCTTTAATAAGGAGACCTCGAAATGAAAAGGGAAAAAGGGTACTACTGCGCTACCTAGTAAATGTTTCAGGGTATAAGTTAGACTTTGCAAAGCTAGGAACAATGCCACGCACCTCAGTCCCAGGGTGGTAGGGGGTTTAGGGCTTTAGGGGTTTGGGGTTTTAGGGGTTTAGGGTTTAGGGGTTAAGGAGTTCAGGGCTTAGGGGTTTAGGGGTTAAGGGTTTAGGTGTAGGGATCGATTCCTCGATTCCTTATACACAAGCCTAAACCCCAAACTCGAATTTGTAGCTGGCATGTTCGTTTTCCATCATTTGCTAGTTACAACCAGTAGAATGACCCTGAACACTAAACTCAAAACGCTGTATCCCCCTAAAACGCCACGAAACCTCAGCTTCCATTTCACGTCCATTTGTTGTTCCATTGGCTCTCCATTCCCTAACCTAAGCCGCAAGCCCGACTCGTAGGTTACATTGTCCGTTCCATTCCTCCATTCGGCAGAATATTGCGATATACCCCCTATAACCCCCTATAACCCCTTGAAAAGGGGTCCCTAAACCCTAAGCCCCAAAGACTAACCCCAACCTAAACCTTAGAACCATCAACCCTACCCCCTAAACCCCAAAAACCCTAAACCTTAAAACCCTAAAACCCCAAAGCCCAGCCTTTCTTCGCCCTTCTTCGCCGAGCGGCGGAGCCCTGCGACAGGAAGCCACGCACGGCCGGCGTCCCGGAGGCCGGCGTAAGCCTTCACATGGTTTAGGGTTTAGGGTTTAGGGGTTATATGGGTGGTTGTCAAAATTATGATCCCTTTTTGGGTACCCTAAATATTTGGTGCCGTACTATAACAGGGATCCAAAAAAGGACCATAATTTTTGGCAACAACGCACATAGGGTTTACTGAAATTACTTAGAGTTTGGGGAGGCTCGTTTGGGGTTTTGAATGTTTTAACTTTTCAAATTTCAACACCTGAAGATTGAGGGACTTGGGACCAGAAGAAATTGTAGGTTCATTTTGTTTCGAAAGCTTAGGACTGAAGGTTTGGGGTCTAAGCCTCAGGGTTTAGGGTTCAAGATTGGGGCTTAGGGCCTTGGGTCTAGGGACAGCCACAACACTGGCCGTCGTTGTGCGGATGTCTGCTTGCGGGCTTAGGTACGATTTAGCGGCCTAGGACGGTGTAGGGGAATATTTTCTGGCCGTGAGGCGCTTGCAGTCCACGTATGAATCCCCAAGCCGTGGGTTAGCTTTTGGGGTCTGAACCCAAACCCTAAACCGTGTTCCGGGCTTGGGGTTTCCATCAATAGCTCCCTAGGGCCTCAAATCCTAAGCCCTTAGACCCCGAAGCCGAAACGCTGAGCCAAGTGTTGTCAAATACCTTCCAAGCTCACTTTTGGGTCCTGACCACATTGACCCAAGCTACATCTATCATCAACGCCACCACTTGCACCGAAAAGGAAGGCCTCACATGCAAAGAGCACAAGTCTAGCTTTCTGCCTACACCCTATACCGCCTCTACCCTCTGTTGCTGCCAGTGAGCAAAAGAGCCAGCGACAGCGCTGTTTGGGACAACATGAAGATCGCTTAGCTTCCGCCCCGTTCGGCGGATGATATGTAAGGCCCAGCCGGGCAAAAGGAACGCCGTGACTGATCGAGCCACATGTTGCGGGGCAAGGCTGCAGCTTCTGGTTCCTATCAAATGGCGGATGAGTCAAAAACATACGTAAGATTCTTATGGCTTCTGGGCTTGTAACTAGCAAGTTAGCCCCTTGTGGGCCAAGGTTTTTCGTGGAGGGCTTCGTTTTGGAAAGCAGCTCAGCCGTTAGGGCTTGCTGCAGAAAAGGGAGACTCCTTTGACATACACATGCCTTAGGGATGGGTTTATAGTCCCCCTAAGTAGATAGAATATGGAATTGACCAATCTTATAATAAGATCCCCATATACCCCATATTCTATCTACTTAAGCGGGACAATATACCTTGTGAAGAACATGGGTCCCGCCATGCTTAAGCATGCTCCTATACCCAGAGAGCCCAATGTAGCTTAATGAAGGAATATACCTTAAATCATACTAAGACCCTTAATCTGATTTAAGGCATATATTCTTTAATTAAGCTATACTGAGCTCCCTGGCCCGAAACCCTAAACAAGAAACCCCTAACCCTCGTAGTTTCCATCTTCTTTTCCGTTATCCCTATATAAGTAAGCTATATTAGGCTCCCTGGGTGGGATTGAGACATCTGGGGGCTAGGTGCAGGCTGCGCACTTTTCTGAAGAGGAAGGCTGGAACTGGCAAATGTCTGGGCCATGTTTGAAAGGGGTTAGGGGGTATATAGGGATTATATTGGGGTAATATTGGGGTTGTATTAGGGTAACATTGGGGTTTTATTGGGGTTTTATTAGGGTTATATAAGGGAAACAGAACAGAAAATGGAGGAAACTACTACATTATAACAGAGTTTCGGGAATCGAGAGCGGTGGACATATTGCCTGTCTGCATCTTACAGCAGGACCTCCACAACACAAGACGCGAAGGCAAAAGCACGAAAAAAAGGCATGGCATTTTCAGTGGTGGTTGGTAGGCAATACAATCCCTATATAAGCCCTGTATAATATACTCCCCTGTTTGCCTCAGCAAGATTCAGCAATGACACTAGCAATGACACTTCCAGGTGCATGTAGGACGGTCGCATGAAGGAAGTGCGGCTGCATATTGAGGTCTAAACAGGCCTCGCTTATGCACACCCACCAGATAATTGCCCGCATGGAATTGTCTTTGGATCAAGCTCTTGAACAGAAGCTGAAGATGACTTATTCAAGTGCTTGCAAAAATTTAACGCCAAACATCCCCAGACAATCATCCGGTGTCCTCCAGATCTGCCAAGGCGAAGAAAGGTTATCGGTTTGAGCCAACGGGAAATCTTGCGCGGAGCCAGGCGAATTTGAAGCTTCAGCCTCACCCCAGAACCCCAACACCTACAACTTACAACTCATAACCCCTGCACGCCAAACCCTAAATGGTAGTTTCCATGTCCTTTTCCATCATCTCTATATAACCCCTATAACCCCCATATCTACCTAAGGTGGACTATGGCAATCCTTCAGCCCCTAACACCATGCAAGACGCATGCCCTTTTGCGGCTGGGCTCCTGGTTCCGACCCTGCGCACTCTTCTGCCCAAAGGCCACCAAAGCAGGACGGTCCCGTGCCCACTGCTCATGCCAGGGTGAGCCGTCCTCCCAGTCGAAGGAGCCTGCAGAGCATAGTAGTTTCCATTTTCTTTTCCATTAAATAGTACATATCCTATCATAACATAGTAGTTTCCATTTTCTCTTCCTTTAAGTAATATATACCCTATTATAACATGGTAGTTTCCATTTTCTTCTACATTTATACATATACATACACACCCTATTATACCATAGTAGTTTCCATTTTCTGTTCCGTTAAGTAATATGTACCCTATTGTGACATAGTAGTTTCGATTGTCTTCTACATTTATCCCTATATATCCCCAATATACAATATAGTAGCTTCCATGTTCTTTTCCATTATCCCTATATAACCCCAATATACAATATCGTTTCCTTTTCCATTATCCCTATAGTATCCCTAAACCCTAAACCCCCAAACCCCCAAACCCCTGAACCCCTAAACCCTATATCCGTCAAAGCAGCCTGCAGAGCCTGCGAAGCGATAACCTCCCCTGGCACGAGGCGCAGGGCCCGCTGCCCGCAGCTCCGCCAGTGCAGTGCGCGTGCCCTCAACAGCCTGGGTTGCTGTTAAGGAACTTAAATTAAGTTACCATAATGGGTATAGGGTTTAGGGGTTAGGGTTTACCATAATGGGTACATATATAGTAAATAATAGGGTTTCCCAATATAGTAACTTAATTTAAGTTCCTTAACAGCAACCCAGCAGCTTCAGCGTGCCGCGCAGGCGGGGCAGCGGTGCGGCGAAGCAGGTAGATGCAGGCGTCTGTCTTAACGAACAGCCGGAAGCTGCGGCGATGCTCCGTGGACCAGACTTGGCCCAGCGCATTTGCAGATAAAGCAGCTTGCATGACCTCGCGGTTCTCCTGTCTGCAAAACTTCTAGCCCAGCTAGCTAGGCACTTGAAAGGCGAGCAAGCTTCAAAAGCTTCAACCACCTTGAATCCCCTAAATCTTAGCTGGTGAGTTTGTCATCAGATTGGAAACAACTAACTTGGAGTGCTTATGAAATCTGTCCTGGCTGGTCAAGAGCACGGCCAAACCGCCGGGGCGCAGCACGCGTGACATCTCCGCGAGCGCCGCGGGATACAAAGTTTCGTTGCCGTGCAGCGTCCCAAACTGCTTCCCAAAAGGCAGGTCCTCGAGTGCTTGTTGAAACAACTGTTACATACTGCTGTACCCTGAAGCCTGCGCTTTCAGAACACGCGAGCCGGCTCCTTAGGATCTCCTATTTAATTGTATACCCTTGGATCATACTCCGTTCCTGAGGATGGATACGCTTAGCAATGCATCAAAAAACACAACTAGCTTCCATTTTCGTTTCCATTATCTACCTAAGCCCAATACACCCCCACATTACAGGGATAATGGAAAAGAAAATGGAAGCTACTACATTGGAACAGGGTATGTATACAACACCTGTTCCAGAGGAACCCAGGGATCCGTCAGGATCTTGTGCACTGACGCCGTAGCCAGGGGAAGACCCCCAGGTGCGGCCGCGTTCGCGAGCAACACCTCTACCTGGTTAGGCTTTAAGAGGACGTTAGGACGTTAAGAAGTTACAACTTCTATAACTGCAGAAGTTTGCCCAAAATCATGGATCCAGAAGTAGAAGTTTTTGCACTGGAACATATCATGTCAGACAAGGGAGAACCTTCCTAGCACAGTCCAACTGCGGGGGCAGCCATACGGATGCCGGCGGCATTGGCCCTGGCGGCTGACAGTTGCTCTGGGTCGGAGTCACAGCCGATGAAGGCACCTGTCTGTGCGGCTTGTAAGAGTATTGATTTTGCTCATGCTAGGCTGCTAGGCCATGCGTTGGCAATCAGTTCCTTCTCATAACAGTCTGCTGGCACGCGCGGCATCTACCACTGAGTTTGCAAACGTGTTGCTGCACACAGGTGCAGTATACCTACCAGAGTGGTATGCATCTGTCTGATATGCAGGCGTAAACCTGCTGTACTCAATATAACATATGTACGTGCCAGCACCCAAGCATCGAGGCATGCTCTCTTTAAGCCAGTTTCCATTGCATCCTCCATTTGAATTTCCCTTTGATGCTCAGCTTTTTAATCCCTCAAGACCCTAACGCCTTGAAGCACCAAACCCCAAATCTTAAGCCCAGCAATCACAAACCCTTAAGATCTCAACCCTAAAACCTTACAACCCGAAACCCTCAACCCCAAAAGCACGGGACAGCAAAAAGCACCTCCATGCCGCCAGTTCAAAGCCGCCTCGCATAAGAGCACCTGGCGGCTTTTGGGGTTTATGGTTTGCGGCTTTAGGGTTCAGGATTTTAAGGTTTGGGGCTTTGAGTTTCGGGTTTAGGCCTGGCAGGTTAGGGTTGGAGGGGTTAGATCTTTATGGCTACCGGTTTAGCGTGCAGGGTTTGGGGTGTGGGATCTGAAGATCACATGCCCATCACAGATTGGAAATCCTGATACTGGGGGCTGTTTTTGTTTGCATATTGGGGACCGTGATCTATGAACACTACCGACTTTGGGTCACTGCCACAATGACAATTTCTTCCTTGCAACCTTCAAATTTGCAAGGCCAGGATATAAGATCCCCAAACGAATGCTTGATTCGGCTGGTTGGACTGTGCATTCCGAGTTCTAAAAAATCTGCATGGCTGCTTGGCAGACAGGGTTCTTCCATTGTCCCCCTTAAGTAGATAGAATATGGCTTCGGGTATATTTTACCAAATCCCCATATACCCCATGTTCTACCTACTTAAGGGGGACTATAGTACCAAAGCATGCAGACATCGGGATGAAGGGAACAGAGTTGTGATATGTGTTTAGCGTACTTCTTGCGGCTTCCATTTGCCACCTGCTCGCCCAAGCCTAGACCAGTGGTTGAGCTTCATGGATGGAACTCTTTAAAGCCCAAGTGCATCTACAAGTCCAGGAATGCCATCCAACCATTGAAGTCCCTCCCCCTCCTGCCATTCCTGCCCCACATGTAGCCGTAAGCGTGTCAATCTTTGCTCCACGGCCGCACATGGGGTCCAGCACGACCTGGAAGCAGGCTGATTTCATCCGGATAAGCATAAGCACAAAATCTGATCAGCTCAGGTTGCAAGGCAAAGGTTTGGGCGCCAAGTAGGGCCTTCACAAAACGCAAAACAATAATAGGAAAGACATGTTACAGGGTCCAAGCAGACGAAGCACACACCCGCCTGTGTCCACTCGCAAGATAGCACTACAAACCACGGCAACCCACTGGCATGACCAGATTTGGGTACGCAGCAGCTGCCTACATATGAGTCACAAAGAAAAAGCATAGTGAACTTATTGATCCAAAGGTTAAACACGGTGTTGCATCTCCTTTTCCAACCCGAAGCCCGAAACATCCTCGAATCCTGCAAGCTCAGCCTGGAGGCTCTACAAAATGTTGAAGCATCGCAGAGATACTGGAATTTGGAGTTCAGGGTTGTAGCAGGCAGTGGAGGAATGGACCCCGCTAGTAGCCCCAGAAAGTCCCCAATAGCTTGAGCTCTAAAGCCAAAATAGTAGCTCTCATGTGAGTAGCGCTTTTTGGTGGTTGAACCCAGTAAGACAACATTCCTTATATAAAATACTATACCCCAAAAAAGGAGGATATAATCTTGCTCTATAAACGATACCATAGTATGCCCAAATAAAATACTACTCATGTTGGTTCGCACTTCTTCTGAAGCAAACCTTCCCCGGGCCTCCTGCGGCTGGATGTCCAGGCAGCGCGCCAAGACCTGGACGGCAAAACCCAAGGTTTGGAATTTGAGTGTGGAGTCTTAGGGCACGGGTTTTGTTCTACGAGTAAATAGGTTTGGTGCTACTTTGTCTTCACCGGCTTTTCCACCTGCATGATATTAGATTTGGAGGTTGAGGCATAGAGTTTGGATGAGGGGTGTGGTTCTTTCGTTTCAAGGCAACAGGGATGAGGGAAGGGATGAGGGGGTTGAGGATTTGGGGTTCGGGGCTTTCAGCTTCAGATTGGTGGGTTTTGAGTTTTGAGTTCAGATGCTTGGATTGCAGGTTGAGGATGGGAGTGGAAGGCTGTAAGGTTGAAGAAATTCCTGGTACCTATCAGAAAATCCAAGGACTTGCGCGCGCCCCTTAATTATGATTCTTTTAAGTGTTTGGGTCTGAAAGCACCCCTCAACCGTGTATGTTGCGCTCTGGGGAGCTTGCAGCTGCTTATAGAAGCACTGGCAACCCAACAGCGCTGTACATCGTTCTTCCCTGGAACATGAAGCGCGAATTACATGACAGAATGACGACTTTCTGAGATAGGACCAGGTAGGGTGTCTGCGTGAAAATACAATACGTCGTATCAATGCTTCAGCACCACATCCAGAAATCGTAGAGCCAATCCGTGGGCTGAGCCGAGGCACCCAGGCAATCGCCGGATGTAGCCCTCGCGGGACACGGGACGGAACTTTCAGCAAGCTGATGGTTGAGAGTTGGGGCATAAGTTGTATGATTTGTCTGTGCAGCGCCTTGGCGTAGTTACGGAACAAGTTGCGAACGCCAAGTACTTACAAAGACAAAAGGCCATCCTTGGGTCGGAGAGGGCTGTCGAGATTGATGACACTTGAAGGCGCATGGCTCAGAAGCTTGAACCCCATAGATGAAATCTCGAAAATCTTGGAATCAATTTACAGCGACCTTCCCGGGGTCACTGCTGCACATCTGCAGAAATTTAACAAACATTTACAACCAAAAGCGGCACCCGAAATGGAAGAGTCATGGTAAGATAAATGAGAAGATCAACAGTGACGACAGTGATCAGCGTGGCAACCGTAATCAGCCTCAGAATGAACATTCAAAAGAAGCATAGGTAAACGATCCATACTTAGGAGAGCCTTATATAGCTCCAGAAAACTAGAGTCCTTGGTATCGGGCCTCCAACCCTAAAAGCCCCCCCCACACAAAAAGGCCTGTGTGGACAAGGTAGCAACCCCGACCACCCAAAGGCTGCACTAGGGCCTTGGAAGAGGCGACGGCTTCGGGGTTTGGAGTTGGTTCTGCCCTAAAGAATACAGAAAGCGATGCCGTCGGAACCTGTTTGTTAAAGGGTCTACTTGGGCTTAGCTATGCCCTCCATACTTGTTTATATCCCGAGGTTCCACACTGAGCTCCTCGGGAATGTGTCGGGAGCAGCTACACTTGCAAGAACAAAAAACGACCTCCTGGAGGGTGTGGGATGCAAGGGCTTTAGGAAAACAAAATTGCAGCCTACCGCTGTTTTGGGTCACGGGCTTTTTGGGAACCCTCGTGGAGGGTAATGCCCAATGAAAGCCCAAAAAGGTCATGGTGTTTCTTAGTCCTCTGACAAGGATCAAAAACTCCACAGTAAGCACTTACAACTCTGACCGAACGCATCCCGCTTGCGGAGGCTCAGCTGCATGGTTTCCAATCAGCCTTCGCCATACCATGTTTTGTGGATGTACGGGCAAACAACGCTCTCAACAGCTTCGTAATAAAAAGGCTTTTGCAAGCGCTGCTGGCAATATCTAACTGACAGCAGACAAATGTTGAAAGCTTCTGGCTGGGTCATGAGATTTCGGAGGCTCAGAAACTTCAGGACAACAACCTGCTTCCCTACACGACTTCACGTGTAGTCCCGTGAGCCTATGAGGCGGACCCTGGGGCTTTCACCGACCCATAGCGGCAGACAAGCAGCAAACGGAAGCTAAGCAACGGATGCCAATCTGATCTTTTTGCCACTGGCGCACTTGCCAAAGACTTTCCCCGAGCGACCCCCTGCCTGAAGTCCCTCAGTCAGGGAATCGTTTTGCAAAGCTTGAATTTGTAAATGTAGCAGTGGATGCAAATTTTGCTAGCATGCCCCTCTTCTGCAGAACGCACAATCGATGATGTAGGCGAGGTAAGGCATATCCAAGCAACGAAGGTCGGCAAACCAACATCTCAGAAATATCTGTCACGTCAAAAAACTTGCTGAACAGTATCAACTTCTTGGACAGGTTTGCCTGTATGCTCAAGCCCAAGACTTGAGGA